ATAAAATGCGGTGTTGCGTATGGGGGGGATTCCAAGTGGTCTCTCATTGAAGGCCCTGGCTAGACCCTCCTTTCACTCTATATTTTATACACTGTAATTATTGGAAAATATTATAACTTATAAGAAATTCAAACTAAAATTCAAGCAGGAAGCTCTGAAAAGGAGAAGAATCAGATTGCACCATAAAAACATGAATGTGGTCCAATAAGCATGAACGTATAAAGAGGAGCTGTATGTTTTTCAGAGACAGCCTGCTCCCCTCTTCCCAATTGTGTTGTGTGCCTTCAAATAATTTCCAACATGACCTCCATCAAGGGGTTTTCTTGGCAAGATTTGTTTGTAGGTGGGAGTGGGTGAGTTGGGGGTTGCCACCATTGCCTTCATTTGAGGCTGAGAGAGCGCAACTTGCCCAAGTTCACCCAATGGTCTTCCATGGCCAAGCAGAGATTGAAATCCTGGTTTCCAGAGTCCAATGCTTGAATTACAACATCAAACTGTGAGAAGTGCATGCTAGTGAAGTGCATAGAAAGCTGCCCTATATCTCAGGGCAGTATCAATGTTGTGTATTAGACTAACTGGCAGCACTTCCCCCAGCATTGGTGACAAACGTATTTCCTATCTAGAGTTGCAGTAGACTGGATCAGGGACCTTCTGCATGCTAAGGAAAATGACCTGAGGACTTAGACAGCTCTGCACAAACACACAGAGCATGAGAAATGAGATGAACTTGAACACTTCGTACAGCAAAGAAAGTACACTATCATAGGCATCACTGAAACCTGGTGGGTTGAGTCTTATGATTTGAAGGTAGTAATAGAGGGTCTAATCTATTTCAGAGAAATAGATTATAAACAGGAAAGGAGGAGGAGGTAGCTTTATATGTTGAGCTGGGGGGTTCTGTACTTTACGTAGCTTGAGAGGTGTTTAGATGTTTTTATTGGTTTTAACTGTATTTTAATAAGACCATAGTTTAACTATATTTTAATGTATGTACGCTTTGGTTTTAACTATTGTATGATTTTTAGTTTTAGCTGCTTTCGGTCTCTTTTGGGAGAGAGCCAGGATATAAATACTAATACTAATAATAGCTCAAGGATGTATTCCTGCATGGCACAATGAGGTTGGACTGGATGGCCCTTGTGGTCTCGTCCAACTCTAGGGTTCTATGATAGCAGGTGTTCTATTAGATCTCAACATCCTGCACCTCTGAGATTTGAATCTAGAACATCTTACATCTTGAGGACTAATCATGTGTCATCACTTACAAGGTTCAGTTGAATCAATGGTCTAATTTTGGGTTCAGTTTTTTTTCACTCACACTTGAACATGACTGAATGTTGGGGATTTTGATATATTCTAGTGAGGGTGACAGGAGCTTGGTTTGCCATGGCTAGTTTGGTAGACTGTGATGAATGAAATGCTGGAGCTTGACCTCCTCCCCCATTTCCATTCTTAGATTGAACCGTTAGCTACACCATTTAATCTCAAGCAAGTAAATGTGATTTTGATTGATTGAGGAGTCTGCTCCTGGCCTTTTCAAAGCTACCGTCATTTCCAGTCACTTTGGGCATGGCCACCTTTCCTGAAGCCAATGTCACAGCAGTGAAAGAACCAATCAGGGGGATTTCAGGAGAGCTGAGCTTTCAGATTTCCTTTGAACAAATCTAATAAAAGTCTGTGCATGAAAAAAAAAAAGAATGGGAGAGAAAGACTTGTCACATGCGGTGAAGTGTTTCCTGCCATTTGGTAGCTTTGCCAGTAAAAATGAGGATTGGATTGTTTATTTATTTATTGAATCTGAGGTTCAGTAAATACCAAGATTGGGTTGTGACTCACTCTCCCCCCCCCCCCCCCCCCCCCCAGCACACACAACCAACCAAAAGGATGGATCAGCTACAGAAGGAGTCTAAAGTGGCAGCCTTTCTACACCGATTTGACAGTGCACTGATGAGCAGCAAAACTTGGCCACTTTGTATCTTCTGCCCACCCTACCCCTTTGTGTTTCCAATAATTAGGATTTTTGCCATCTAATCCCACCCCATTCTGCCATACAGGAACACAGAATCAAAGCAGCCCTGACAGATGGTCAATCCAGCCTCTGCTTAAAAACATCCAGAGGAGACTCCACCACATTCTGGCGCAGAAGCGTATTCCACTGCTGTCAGAAGGTTCTTCACAATGTTTTAAGTGGAATTAGTTTTTTCTGCAATTTGAACCCGTTGCTGTGTTGTGTTCTAGTCTCCAGGTCAGCAGAAAACAAACTTGCTCCCTCCTCAGTGAGACCTTTCAAATATTTAAACATGGTTGTCATGTCCCTTTCTCTTAGCCTTCCCTCCTCCAAGCTAAATATACCCAGCTCCCTCAGCCACTCCTCATAGGAGCCTTTTGACTATTTTGGTACCCCTTCTATGGATACCGCCCAGCTTGTCAATATCCCTCTTGAATTGCTTTGCCCAGAACTGGAGTGTTATTCCACGTGAGGTCTGACCAAAGCACAGTAGTGGGACAATGACTTCCCTTGATCTAGACACTGCCCTCCTACTGATACAGCCTAGAATCACATAGGCTTTTTTCGCTGTCACGCTGCTGACTCGTGTTCAGTTTGTTGTCTCCAAGATTATTTGTTGTATTAGATTCTAAAACAGCTGATCTCCTTGTTGCCTCTTCCATTTTCTGGGCAATTAAATTGCCTGCAAGGCAAGTGAGGAATTTGTTGGGCCTAATATTTTTGGCAGTCTGTCCTCCAATAAATATCAGGATATTTGAAATTTCTCTGTGTACAAGCAATAATAAAATGCTAACAAGGGACAAAAGGCAGAACTACTTTATTTGTCTCTGTCTTCTCTAAAAAGGCTAAGTGCTCAACTTGAGGATAATGAAACAGATGATGTAGGAGGGGAAATGCAGCACAGAATGGGTAAAGAAGTAGTATAGGAATATCTGGCTATGCTAAACAAATTCAAGTCTCCAGGGCCAAGTCTACTTCTCTGGATGGCTATCTCTTTGTGTGCTCTTGCATGGTAGAGTGAGGTTGGACTGGATGGCCCTTACAGTCTTTTCCATCTTCATGATTTTGATTCTATCAATAAGCACTCTTTGCACAGTACCTTTAGAAGTGTCTTTAATTTTGGGGAGAGCTTAAGACTTACTAGTTTTTGCAAAACAAATCCACAAATGGAGGATGCTTGCACAAGGGGGTGTAGCATTGCTGCAGAGCCAAGTCAGTGGAAGAAGAAAGGAGCCATTTCAAGAGCTATTTTGCAGCTCAGTGCAATTCCAAAATAAACCCTGTGCCTGCCCTTGGCAGCTGTAACAAGGTGGAGCTTTGCTTGCTTGTTCCACTTTCCCTCTCCCAGCTAGTCTGAAAACCAAACATGGTATATCCTACTTAAAAGGCTCATTTATATAAAAAGAAGTGTTCTACAAACACACATGAAATGCTGGTAGCATATATACGTCTCTTTACTGCCGCCCTAGACTTTTGTTTCCCAGTTTGGCTTGCTTTTTTTTTTTTGGGGGGGGGGGGATGCAATCTGCTTTGTACTGACAACAGCATTTGATAGTCAAGGGTTGGTGAAAGCTCCCCAATTGAATTTTGGAAGATTTTAAAAAAGCATAGGGATTTGTGCCTTTACTGACGAATGTGACAATGCTTATAATATCTTGTTTTAGGAGGCAAAGTTGAGGCTACTCACTGGGTCACCTTGATGTCGCATATGTGGTGTGCAGGTTCAGAAGAGCTTAGGATTCTGCAAAAGAGTAGATTTCAGCACTTGCAGCTTCTCTCAGCCTTGCCAGTCATGTTTGGTCAAAAGTGATCACTAACCAGTATAACATAGTGTAATGTGTATCCTACACCTAAGAGGGATGTACTGGCCTTTTATGTGCTATGCCTCCTGTGTCAAAGCTAAAGAAGCCTGCCTTTGTCCAGACTTGTTTTCTGCCTATGCCGTTCTGAACCTGTACTAAAACCAGTACCAGAAGGACAGCTTCTGTGCTGGCTTTTCAAGGGACTAGCTGAGTTGGCTTCTTGTTCCCTTCCAGAGCCTGCAATAAAATACTCAAGGACCAAAGGCAGCCTTTTTCTGCCAAAGGAAACGCCGGCCTTGCGAAATACTGCCACCTAGAAGGTTAAATGCAGAACAGCCCATTTAAGAGAAGCTTTCTCACTGTCCAACAAAATTCAACTGAAATAAATGATATTTTCCCTATGGTGGGTACAGTGGTGCACGTGAATAACTAACTGAACAGATGGTAAACTGCCCAAAGGGCATAGCCAAAGGGGACTTTTTTTGAAGGTGGCAATGGGCTTCCAGGACTCATCACGGGCAGCAACAAATGAAGCAACCGGCTTACAGGTGAAAAAACACCTGCATTTTGAACCTGCCCTTTATGGCATAAGGCAAGCTCCCTGCAGTGTCTCTTATAGAAAGGAGGAAACACGTGACAGTCTATGGGATCCCAATTTGATCACATTTCCACTCCCCAATAGCTCTGGGAGGTGGCCTGCAGCAACTCTGGAAAGGGCAGAGGGTACATCTGTGCATTTACAGAAGACACTTGGTGTATCTCTGCTACATTTTTAATGGAGTGTTAATGACTGCTCACTCCCAAATTGTCAATTGGCTAGACGGGAAAAGGGTGTGTGCGTGTGCTCCTCATTCTCACCCTAAAAACCCTTTAAAGGTCCAAAGGGATCTGCCTCTCTTCTGGGAGCCCACTGGAGGGGGAAAAAAGAGAGGGAGATCATGCGATGTGACAGAAAGGGGTGGCAGGGTGGCATTTGGCTCCAAGCCCTACAAGCTCCAATTACGAGAGAAGGAAAGCAGCCTACAACAGGAAAGGTCAGGCCTGGAGAGTCACCTGGCTCCACTGGTCACCATGTTCCACCCAGAGACAGGGATAACACTTGCATTATTATGAATGGCTTGCCTTGCCCCTTTCGGCTATTTTTAGCCACTGTTGTGAAAAACCACACACAAAAATCAGAAGAGAGCTGATTTTGCTGGCAACAAGCTCCCCTCCCCCCCACTTTTTTATTGAAACAGGAAGGCAGTGCTTGAACACTGCAAACCCACAATGCTTGTTTCGCGGGTATGTAGAGCAAAAACAAACAACAATGACAAAAGCCCCCCCTCCCAAATAAACAACCCAAACAAATAAACACAACAACAGTGAACAAAACTTCACTTTCAGTAGAAGAAAAAAAGCCCCAACCTTTTAGAGCAAGCTGCATAAATATTTACAACTCAGCAGTTTCTATGTACAGTCCATTCTATCATACAACTTGCTTTGAAACAGCTATGCACAATTTGGTTGTACAAAAGATAGAGATTTCTTCTCCCACCCGCTCACTTGTACAGGTCAAACAATAAAACTGTCCTTTCAATCTTTTTTGTGTGTATTTGTACAAATTACAAAGTTGATAACACTTCAAACTTTAATAGTTTAACATAACTTCCTCTTTTTTTCTTGATTGCACAATTAATAAAAAAAATCATAGCAGGTAGCACAATAGAGATCTATATGTCACAAAACCCTACACAAAGTATGCAGACAATTGTGTATGAAGAATGGCTTTCCTTGAAGCTAACACACAGTGCTCGGCGCTCATCTTACATAGAGATAACGGTTAATGGGGATGATGCTTGTCAGCATTTGGTTGAATCATAGTGAGTTGGGTTTTACCAAGATCTGGCTTGTGCATGCAAGCACGCACATGGATATGTGCCAGGCCACTGATTCAGGCACAAGAAAACGTGTGTATGTACCTTGTATACATGCACACACAAATGGAATCATATGTATACACAGAATCCAAGCATATATATAAATATATATATATATACACACACACATACACACACAACCACGCACACACATACAGCGAATGTACACCATCTGGCAATATGGGAATAACCTTTTGGAAGGGAGAAAAAGGGTCACAAATCCCCTTAATGGAATGTATATGCAATCTCAGCTTACAAAAAATGGCAAGAGATTTTGTTGCATTATGTTCCAAAACTATGAATGCGTTTGGCTGAGTGAAGTTGTACCAATTGAACACGGTCTAAAAAAGAAAATAACCTTGTTGAATGTGAGCAAACCCTACCTGGTCTCTGCAAATGGTTCTGCTGTAGCCAGGACTTCTGATTTTATGGGTAAGTGATGGAATCATGGTTTTTGTGTGTGGACTGTATGAACCAGGAAGTTTTTCTGAAGGTTGGGCAGATACTGACTGTAGAACAATGGCTGTTTAGTCTGCCCTACATAATGTTTTCCTCTGTGGAATAAACTAAAGGTAAGGGAGGGTGTGTTTCCTAAAAGGTATGAAATGCAGCACACACATTTAGAAGCACACAGGTCAGGAAGCTCTCATGCACTGTGGGCTCCTGACTTCTGCCCTTGCTAATGAAAGGCCTTGCTAATGAAAGGCCTTGTGTGTGCATGCGTTTAAGTGCGTATGTTCAGCATGGATCCTAGCTATCTGAAAATTGGCTTGGACACTGGTGGAATCCTGTAGGTATACATTTTGGGGCTCTTTTCCCCAATGAATTAATTAATGTCAACTAATTAAAATCTGGCTGCAAGCTACAGTACTATTTTTGGACAATGAGCAAAACCCTAATCTACCTTACAGGCAAAGAGGAAGGCCTGTGAAATTTAGTTTTTCACATGATCTTTATAGCAGTGCCTCTCAAGCTTTGGCCTTGCAAAGTTCCCAGAACCCCTGATGATTGGACATGCTGGTTGAGGCTTTTGGGCACTGAAGACCAAAACGTCTGGCGGGCCAAAGACTGAGAGCTGCTGTTCCATTAAAACGTCACATGCTGCTTCCTTTTATCAGGCAGCGCTTTAAACAACTCAAGTACTGCTGCTGCCTTGTGCAGAAGAGAGTGAGGAGAGAAAAAGGCAGAATGAGCAGGAGGGAGAGAGAAAACCCAGGGAGGGTTTCTAGCCCCCCAAAAGTGGGCATTTCTTCTAGTTGCAAAAATATACACTCTCTTACTATAAAGTGTGTCCTGGCATAAGAAAAAGTAGCATGAAGAGGTCTGAAAAGCAGTAACTGGAGGGGCCTGTGAAAAGAGAAGCAGAAGAGATAAATTACTGGTGGCGAGTTCAGCACTAGACAAAATATCGAAGTACACATCCTCCAAAGACAGAAAATTGTTGGTGATTTGTCTCTTCCTGATAATGATTTTTCCATCATTATTTGATTTCAAGTGAGGCTGATCATATAAGATAACATTATAAATGAACTGATGGTGGCCAAGATGCATTTTGCTGGTTTAAGATTAACAACCCATTACACTGGTGTGAGTTGTATGTTGGTTAATGGACTATGGCTGACACTGGAGAAAATCTGAACTGATGTTTTTCTCTACTCAAGATATGTTGGCCCCATCTTGACTGTCAGATCTGAAGGTTGTTTCTTCAGACTTTAAATGATGACTTTTGTGGTTGATAACTTCCAGAAACAGCCCATCACATGCTAGCATGGTCACTGTTTTATATTGACTGGGCATTGTCTAAAAATGTAACTTTCCTAAACAGTGCCTCTTTTCCTGTCTCAAAAGAATTATTTCACAATCTGTCATCAGAATAGGATTAAAGGTTTCAGTACAGTAAATTGCAGGTCAGGAGAATTATGCACACAATTCTTTCAAGCAGAGCTCCTAAGCCTTCTCTTTTGTTTTAGGTAGCTTCCTGGCCATTGCCTTTATGTATTGTCTGCCGCTCGATCCTTCCTAGTTTCCGATAACCTAAGGTGGTGTAGTTCTCAAATCGAGTAGGTAGCACAGCCTTGTAGAACACAAGGACAGAGGCCAAGAAATGATATTCTTAAATTATGGAATTGTATTCCACCAGCACAAGTTTTTTCGGATCAGAAAGATAATTCTTAGCGGATTTTGCCCCAGAAAAGCCTCCATGTTGTTTCAAGTATGTGCTTTAGAGACTGGGGCATTTCAAGAGCTTACATGTGCATACTCACATATGTGTTTAAAGCACTGGGACAAGAAAAAAACCTATTCTGTCATAAAAACTGGTGGAAGGGGGTTGTTTAGCAGATAGGAAGATAGGAAGGGGAAAAAGCAAGCCTTTCCATAGAAATAAACTCACATAACACAACGTTAATAAGTGTAAGATTGCCATTTCCTGGACACAGTCTCATATTACTTGGCTGTGATAACATGGTTACAGTCCATTCCAGCAAAGAAGCTGCTTTCCAGATGCTTTCCCTTTAGTGTGCTGAATGAAACAACAACACTATTTTTGAGCCATCCTATGTTCAAGTGTGTGTGTGTGCGTGTGTGTGTCTGTGTGTAGAAGGGGGAGACATAGAAGAAAACCAAAGGCTAAACCATTGTGCCCATGCTCACATCACTTAAAATCAGAAAGCATCAAAGTATTGATTAGGCAAAAGAATCGAACCAAACATAGATGCCAGCCTGCAAAGGTAGAAAAACAGAGAACTTGTGGGTGAGGCAGAAAAAAATGCAAGTTTAAACTTTCTGCAAGTTTCTTGACCTCTATCATTCCTCCCCAAAAAGACAAATTCACTTGAAAAATATTGTCACCTCCATGCTGGAGTATTACTATAAGCTATAAGGGTCCTGCAATTGTGAATATATTTTTATATATATAATATATTATATATATTTATATATATATCTTTTTTTTTAAAAAAAACAAAACTAAGTTAATACATTCTATTGTACTACAGAACCATTTTGTCAGAACAGTGTTATCTCTTGGTACTTCCATACAATGACAAGCCACTTGTAAGCTTGCACGCAACATAAAAATCTTCTTTGTACAGGAGTGGAGACTGAAAAGCAGCATATAATACTGTTTTAAAGTCCTTCCTTGCGCAAAAATATCTGGCAGCATTTGCCAAAGGTATCAAAAATATACCCTGTAGACCATATACACACCACTGTTTCACAAAACAATGTACTCCGAACAGCCACCTCTCCCTCATCTGTTGAACCTCTGTTTGTAGCCTGCGTGCTACATATAAAGAAGTTATTTCCAATTTCAATTACTGTTCAAACTCAGCATTCTTTTTTTCCAAGGGAAATCTCTCCTTGTTCATTTTCCAACCCCATGGCCTCCCTCGACATCCAAAGCATTAAAACTTGCCTCCGTATTTGTTGAAAGTTCAGCTGGGCAAGCAATTTCCCTTAAGTTTCTATCACTACACATTAAGAAGAGTACAGCCAGAAGTAACTGTGAGGAATGGGAAAAAACACACATTTCCTCCACAAAGCCATTCTTATTTGCTTCCTGACTCAACCAACATGCAATTCCAATGGTGCAGCCCCTTGTGATGATAAAACACAAGTAAGGGAGAGAGAGTTACTATATCCTATTTCAAGTACTGGATTAACAGACCACAACAGTGCACACAAGAAGGATGTGTTACAAGAGGTTACATGAGAAACACACATCAGGGCTTTGCAAACCAAAAACACTGCCTTCTTCCAATGAGCTTCCTCTCTCCTTTTCTCTCCTCAAATGGAAAGAAGGGCAGAATTGGTGCAGCAGATGGAATCCCCTGAGAATTAATAACTGAGATTTGGTGACTAGATCCAGTCTCTTGGTGAACCATCAAGGCTTCCTTCGTCTGCCCTCCTAAATACACTTGTGTTCATTTCTTGCCACAATAGTTCCAAGATGATATCAGCACCAAAATGGCCAAGATGGGTTGGGCTCCATTTGCTTGCTGTAGTTTTTAAGGCCTTGAAGCTGAAGAGATTTCCAATTCCTCCTTCCAGATGTGACAAAAAAAGATCAGCGGATGGGAACAATGTTGCTCCTGCGCCTGATCTAGGGCAGCCACAGCTCAGGACAGAGAGCCAGAGCCCTTATGCCCTGGCTGGCTCAATAGCCACCACATTGATTTGTTCATTTTCATGATGTTTTCCTCCATCACGGTTCCTCTGTTTTCATTCACTGTCTGAGAGGGTCTCATACTGTGAGACAAGGAGTGGTTTGGGCTCTTCCTCCCACCCGTGGTGCTGGCTGCTAGTGTTCCCCTGTGGAATGGCGGCGGATGGTGGCGGAGCTGTCACTATACCCGTTGGGAGCCTCATTGTGAGGGGATTGTATGGAAATGGCGTTGAACCTGGAAAGAAGGACAGAAAAAACAAAAAGATCAAGAGCTGGTTGGCCAACCATGGCTTAAATTTTTTCAAGTAGTTTGATCTTCTTCCCTTACTACTGTAAAAGATTTATTTATTAATTATTTATAATATTTAGATTCCACCCTTCTTACCCTGCAGGGGACTCGGGACGAATTACAACGCACATGCACATGGCAAACATTCAATGCCATTAGACTTACAACATATATAGACAGACAAAGAGGCAATTTAACATTCCAGCTTTCCGGCTTCATGAGGGTATGCTTGATTCTGGCCACAGGGGAGCTGCCACTTCACTGTCCATTTGTGACACCGAGTCCTTGATGGAGTACATCCTCATTCTTACGCACGCTGCTGGAAGGTTTTATGGTGTCGTAAATTAGTTAAATTAGCCTCCCCGCATAAAGCAGTACCTAAATTTCCTACTTGACAGATGCAACTGTCTTTCGGGCTGCATAGGTCAACAGCCAGCTAGACTACTAATGGTTGGGAGCTTACTCCAACCCGGGCTGACTTCGAACTCATGACCACTTGGTCAGTAGTGATTTAATGCAGCTGGCTACTAACAAACTGTGCCACAGCCCGTCCCAAGAGGCACGTGACACCAAACTGGGAGGCATAGCTTTTACCCCAGAGGACAGGATCAGATTCCAAAATGACCTTAACAGATTTGAGAGCTAAATGGCCAAAACTAACAGAATGAATTTCAACAGGGAGGGATGTTAGGCATTCCTTAGGAAATAAAAAGGAAATGCACAAATACAGGTCAAACTGAACATAAGCTAACAGTGTGATTAGGCAGCTAAAAAGCCACTGCAATTCTAGGTTGCATCAAATGAGTCTAGTGTCCACATCAAAGGAAGTTATAGTACCACTCTATTCAGTTTTGATTGGCAGTGTAATTTATTTATTTACTTACTTTGATTACACTCCTCCTTTCTCCCTGTGGGGACTCAAGCATTTTGAAGGAGCTCAAGTGCATAATCTGATGAATAATGCAAAAACCTAGCTGTGCAGGAGTGAGCCAGGGATCTGATATGAACAAGCAAGTCTCATTGGAAATCTTTTTGAAACCTAAAAAACATTGTGGGGGCACTGATGGAGAAGAAGAGTCTAAGATGATCAAACAACCATTCAGGAAAGAGTATCAGACAATATTACAGGAGAGATGGAATAACTTCCTTAGCAAACAGAACCGTTGCAACAAGAATTCAGACAAAGCAGAAAAGTAAATCCAGACAGGGCCTTCAGCCCCATGGGAGGTGAAAGTCAAGGCAGGGAGGTGGCCAGAACACAAGACTGATTTCTGCTAAGTCTCTGAGGAAGTCCTCACTGAAATAGCATTTATGTGATGACACTGCTCTGCTATGGTTTTGCTGCAGTGTAAAGTGTACTATTGGCTGAATGAGACTTTATCTGACACGTGTCTCACCTATATGTCATTTCTATTCACATGTCAACAAAAGTGCTTTCATTATTTGGTCTCTTGCTACTGAGCAAAGCAGACATGACAGATGCTGTTACCTGCAGATGATGGTCTGTCATCCCAGACACGGTTGGTAAGAGGTGTCCTCCTATTACAGTCTCCCTCTGAATGAACAGATGAAACTGATGGTGGCCTTTCTGTGGACAGACCTGGTCCTGGAGACTTGGCTTTGCGACTGTTGGCTCTGGCAGCAATCTTTGGCTTCCCTCCTCCTGGCAAAAGAAGCATCTTTCAAACAACCATTGATAATGAAATGTGCTGAAATGGCAGCAACCAAAGTGGGCTAAGTGCCCAAACCGAGCCTTTATCGGGGCAGGAACAGAAAAGACAAGCCTTAGCCAACAGCAAAGTAGATTTAGAAAGATGGGAAATGTAGCTGTAAATTCCCCACCTCTAAATTAAAAACACATGTAATCAATGGCTACTGGACAAGTTGGTACCACAGCCTCTGCTCTCTTTTTTTCTAAAATAAAGAACATCAGGCTTTCCAAACCACAGGGCAGGAGTGAACTAGTCAGTTTTTTTTTTTTTTTTTTACCTTAGTGGTACAATGCGTTAAACCCTTGGGCTGGCAGGACTGAAGACCAACAGGTTGGAGGGTTGAAACTGGGGAGAGTGCAGTTGAGCTCCCTCTGCCAGCTCCAGCTCTCCATGCAGGAACATGAGAGATGCCTCCCACAAGGATGGTAAAACATCAAAACATCTGGGTGTCCCCTAGGCAATGTCCTTGCAGAATTCTCACACCAGAAGCGATTTGCAGTTTCTCAAGTCGCTCCTGACACCAAAAAAGGGGATACTGCCTCTTTCTGACATGGAACAGAGTTGCAAAAACTCATATAATTTGAACCCTCCCTAAAGAATCTACATACAATGATTATTTGCGACCAGAGTGCTACAGATCAGTAAAAGAACAAGGGAGATGGAAATGTTATTTTCCAGGTCAATGATGTGTGTCTGAGCACAAGAGAGCTCCACTGGAATAGGACAAATATGGGCATTCCCTTCCATTTTCTGCTGTAGGAAATTCATGTGCAGACAAACAGCATCTTTGCACAGATGAACCACCAGTGTTGTTCAGTGGCCCTTGATCAGACATCAGAAAGGATCCCTTTTTGAACTACAGCTCCCAGTATTCCACAGGTAACAATGCTAGCTAAGGGACTGTTGCAGGGTTCAAGAAGCTGTAGTCCAAAAAAGTAGTTTCCTCATCTAGCCAATGACAATAGAAGGTAATTTGATGCACAGGAATAGCCTTGAGTGGACTGGGTTAAGAACCATGGATGAGGCCTTCCTCCTTTTCTTCACAGCTGAAATGTGACCATCAAAGGGCAAATAACAAAAACAATTGACATTTTTCACAAGACTACACTTGAAAATAACAACTCATATGCCACTGCTAGAAGTCTAGATTTGAAAATAATTGCAGTGTTTTCTCTAAGTCTTAGAAAAATCCTGGATTTAACCCTTAGTTTGAACCCACACTTCTGACTGTCAATATCCTGGCTTTCCCTAACTAACGCTGCCCAGAAAGATGCAGGTGGGTTATGACTCTTTCCTTCACCATTCTATATATATGCATATAATTTTCCAAGCCTTTCTTAAAATGCAGAGAGACCATTATAAATAAAATTTTAAAAAGGACAAAGAAAGGGATAGCATGTCAGTGTTTTAGAGGAAGCAAAATGGCACTTTCAGTGAAGCGCTTATCAAAAATGAGAACTTGGATTAATCAGCACAATTAAGAACTAATACATAAGTAAAATGCCCCAAGCTTAAAGAAAAAAGGGTGAAGGAGACAAAAAAAAAATCCACCGGAAAGAAAAAGAGGGGATTAATAGCACAACCAAAAATAGTGTCAAAGATCGGAAAGAGCTGCAGACCTGGCAAGGAGGAACGCATGTCGTCAATCCGTCCATCAGGAGCAGTTACAGGCATAGCAGCGGGCAAGCTTGCACTGGCATTCAGAGGGTTAAAAGCATTGGCACTGAGAGGAGAGCGCTCGTCCCACTGCTCGTCATATTTACCCATTAGGGCTTTCCTAATAATTGCCTCCAACCCCATGTTGGTACTGGAATTTTCTTGGACCGACTGGCTCCTACAACTGATTAACCCTGGGAGGTGTGAAAGGAAGGGAAGGAGAAAGAAGGGAGGGGGGAAATGGGGAACCAAATAAGAAATTGGGGAGATGGAGAGAGAAGGAAAGGCAACAAGGGAGAAGGGAAGAAACAAACAGTCAGCACATTCTTGCAAAGCAACAAACTCCATCATGGATTTCTTATTGGTTCCCCAAAACTCTGCAGCACAGTCACCTTCTTGCCTGTTCCTAAGGAGGTTGCAGCAAGGCCATAGGAAACAAAAACTACTTACGGATTTTTGTTTCTGGAAGGCCACACACACACACCAGACACACAGTTTCTTCCCCAAGGCTGGAGGAGGGGAACTACCAGCTTCTTGTCAGGGGGTTTGTCCTGGGGCACATTGTGGACATTGCCATGGTCCCTGTGTGATGCATTGGCAATGGGCTGGTTCAGGTGCTTGGACTTCCTCCATGCGGAGTGGGAAGGGGGTCGGGATGGGAAGGGGTCGGGATGTCTGAAGCAGTGTGCTCCCACTGCTGGGGTACTTCCCAGTGGTAGTAAGTATGATCTGGAGAAAAGGTGACGCAAACCAACCTTCAGCAGGAAGCAACACTGCCCATGCCAGATCAGAAGTGAATTATTCTGTATCCATGTGTACATATGATTTTTACCTACTGAAATCTCACATGATATTACTGTTCAGGGGAAAAGGCTGCATTAACATCCATGCATATGCTTGCATTCTATCAGACACAAGTGACATTCTTTGAGATAGAAAATACTTCAAGAGTTTCAGATTTGCACAAGAATGATGTGCTCCCAGGGAGATAGGGCAGAACATAAACAAATTATTATTATTATTATTATTATTATTATTATTATTATTATATTATTATTATTATTATTATTATTATTATAATTATTATAAATAGTTTGTGTTTCTGAAGTTATTTGAGAACCACGCCTGCTGAACAAAATGGGACTCTGCCTTCAGAGGTAAAAAAACCAAGATGGCTCAAGGCACACGGTTTCAGCCATCAACTAAGCAATGCAACAAAAAAAATCCTCAGTATGTTGGTTTTTAGGTCTATCTCTGGGGTTCTATGGAGCACTGATTCAGAAAATTGCATGAGATAGACCGCATCAGCTCTAGCTTCTTAGATATGGTTATCCTGGTCTTCTATGGTGAATAGATGGCAATTGGTAGATGGCATATGTTCTGTATCTCAAAAACTAGAGCTGATAGGGGGAAACTGGTGCCATTTTTGGAATCAGCAGGTCAAATACACCCAGAAATTATGCCAGCGCTTGTGGCACTAAATGTGTGTTGGCCAGTGCTATCAGTGAGATCCGGATTATCTGCAGACCACTGTGTCACACAGATCTCAGTTTCTAAGATGTAGTCAGGATTCCCCTCCTACTTGGAAATGAGCAAAAGGATCATCTTGGGGCTCACTCACTGACTGTCTGCCAAGTGACTCTATTATAAAGAAATCAAAACAAAAACAAACATCTCAGAACGAACACTTTGATCCAAGTAAACAGGATGGAAAGGAAGCTGAATAGAAAGAGTGCATTTTTCAAAGGAGTGCATTTTTCAAGTCAAAACATTCATCTAGAGTTCCTTTTTATTGACCTTTCCCATTCTCTTTTTAAATTAGTGAAGAACAAATTAGGAATCTCTCTCTCTCTCTCTAATTCTTTACTCTTAGCTTTCTTTCCAAATTCAATGTATCTAATTTTAACATAAACTGAGGTGTTGTGATCCCTGTTGCTAGGCAAAGGAAGATACAAAACAGCTTCTAGAAGAGAGTGGGTTATCCTGTGCTTCAGTGCCTCACAAATTGCAGATATACTATTCAATGGGAGGGTTGCTTTTCCATCCTGAGAGTACATGGGAGCCAGCCCTACCCTGCTACTGGACTTTTTCAAAGCTTTCCCCTTACAGCTGTTCATGAATCCTTCCATCCTGATTCCCCTTTCTTTGGGTGGAGGCTGCCTGACAAAGAGATTCCCAGTGGGAGAAAGGCTCAGTAAAGCAGTGTTGTGTCTATGTGTGTTATGTCTTTTGATGTTGCAATCATGTCATCGGAAGCCATGCAGTTATGGGGCAGCAATGCACAAAGATCAGAAGAGGTGTGGTGGGTCAACTGCTTGCCAGTCATTCCCAGGGAAGAGGGACCAATACAAAAAAAGTTAATAAGAGAAATCGGAACAATATGGAAAGGAAGAGATGTCTTTGGAAAAGAAAAACGCCTACAAATCTTACCTATTGTATACTCCCATCATGAGTCCCTCTCTTTCTGGATTGACCTTGTTTTCAACACAGCTGCCTCAGAGGAAGTTCTTTAAAAACTAATCCCATATTCAGTTTAAAAATGAATGCTCTTCCTTGTGTGCTCTTCTGTTGAATATAGCTATCTAGTAACATATCTGACTTAGGCCACAATCTGATATTACAAAGGATTGCTAACTTTAATGTCACTTTGTTCAACAAGATTATTGTTTCCTCTGTTTGCTGTCAAATACACATTGGGGGATATTCAAGATGGCTTGATATTCAAGATGGAGTGTCAGATGGGAGAAAAAAGTATAATGGTTACCTGTTCCTGTAATAGCTGGCATGTTAAAAATTTCTGTTCCAGGTTGTCCAACATCTGGAGGGAAAGAAGGGGAAAAAACACATTTTAGGCAGAAGCTATGCACTTGTAATATGAATTGTACTTTCTTGAAATTTTTGGTCATTCCAACAGGAGACTATCCTTTAAAAGCCCAACATTTCTCCCAAAGCAGCTTTTGTTGTCCTGGAACCTGAGAGCATCTAAGCAAGTGCAAGACATTATTTTTTTTCCACTCTCTTATGTGAACTGGATGCCTTGAGTTGCCGATTGGCTGAGAAAGGCGGTATACAAATACAGTAAATAAAATAAAATAAAATAAAATAAATAAAAGATTGACTGCAGGACTCATGCAAGGCTCTGAAAAAACCATACAGTTGAGACAATGTTACTATCAAGAGGAAAAACTCCTAATTCTAAGCAACTGTGAAATGTAAGCAGCCTATTAACATTTCCACTAACCTGCATATGAGTAAAAGTAATAATTCTATAGCAATAATGGACTGCGAGTGGCAGCTTTCCTTACTGTTATGTAAATATGTTGAGTATCCCCTTAAGCAAATTTTTTGGGACCAGAACTATTCCATATTTAGGATTTTTATTTGGATTTTTTAAATTCGTGCATATACATAATCAGGTATTTTTGAGATGGTTCTTAAATCTTAATTTATGTTTCACAGACACCTTAGACACAGAGTGAATACAATTTTATATACAAATTTGTAATAATTGTATGCATCAAGCCATCAGAAAGCAAGATGTTACTATTCCAGCCACTCATGTGGACAATTTTGGAGGATTTTAGATTTCAGAATTCCAGATAAAGGATAATGTAGGTTTTTTAAATGGTAGGACTATGTGTCATAATGTACATCATCATATCTATTATTTCCTCTGACATGCAGAACAGAATGCTTCTTCTAAAGACAAAATATTATGTAACCTAAATACAGATTCCATTTTAAAAAAATGAAAATATGCTTTTAGTTGATCAAAATGTTTTAGCTGATAAAATTCAATCAATTAATCAACCCTGACTGTAATAATTACTTGATCAATTTGGCCCATTCCAACCATTAATGGGAATAAGGGCCAAAGCCATAGAAATCCTTACTGTATTCTGCTTCACTCCTGTTGTTTGTGCTGAGTTTCTTGATGATCTCTTGCTTCTTGGATTTCACCATGGCTGAATTACTTTCAGTCAGTTTGCTGAAAAATGCTGGTGGCTGTGTGTTGTTTCCTGGAGATTTGGAGCCCATCCTGCAAGATCAAAAGTCCAGCAAATTGCTGATATGGGCAAATATCTCCCCTTACTTCCTGTGCACCAATCCTGATCAAGAAATGGATCCAAGTGCCACCCCCAACCCACTAGGAATCCCATACTTTAAGTCTTGGCATACACTTTTGTATCAGATACACAAAACCAACCTTCCTGCCCATCCACCCTCCCACACAGACATACATGCATAGCCCACATTCAGCTATCTACACAGTTCATTTATCCAACATGCATGAGGCACAATACAGAAAGCTACTTTATGTGATGCAAGCCTGAATGGTCAGCACTTATCACCTATGAGAAAAAGGTTTTCTAAAAAAGCTAGTTTGTGCTATTCAGCAGATAGTATGTTTCCCCTACTAAGAGGGGTGTTTTATCTTAGAGGGGAGGCCTATAGGCAAGGAGATTCTATAGGGAGGTTGACCATAGAGGTCCATAGGCATGGAGGCACAGAGGCAAGGAGATTCTATGGGGATGTCGACCACAGAGTATCTTTGCATACATGTCTCCTTGCCTTTATGACCCTATGGTCAACTTCCCCTTAAAGACTCCTTGCCTGTGTTTGGTTTTGGATTTTGTGAATGGTCCTATTAGAAATACACATGGGTCTCCAGATGCGGATGGACTATAACTCCTGTCATGCTGTTAATCCCCCTCAAATCCTGCCAGTATTTGAAGTTGGACCATGATGGGAATGTACTCCAAATGTGGTCGAGATCTCCCATCGCTTGTCATGATGTGGCTCTCTTGATGTTGGAGTCATTTTGGAAAATACTTATATAAACCCATAGGCCCCTTCTACACTGCCATATAATCCAGATTATCAAAGCAGATAATCCACATTATCTGCTTTGAACTGGATTATATGAGTCTACACTGCAATATAATCCAGTTCAAAGCAGATAATCTGGATTTTATATGGCAGTGTAGAAGGGGCCATAGACAGAACCAGGGTTATGAAAACATTTCTCAGGCAGAAAGGTGTCACAAGTGGAAAAAGTTTAAGACGCCCTGAATTGTGGTGTCATACCTTTGGTCCAGAGATTCCCCTTCACGATACATGATGGGATATGCGACATTCCGCACATGATCTGATTCTCCCATTCCATCTGGTGGAGATATTGGTTCTATGCAGTTTTCAGAAGCAGGCACTTTGATTTGCTCTGGAGACCTGAGGACAACAGTAGGAACACGACATGAGTTAGAGCATTCTCCTTTCCTTCTGAACACAAAAATAGGTGGAAACAAACGAGTGGTCTATACAGCCCCTTTGCAAATACTGGAAAGTGGCAAATGTGATTACAAGAAATGGAGCAGTGAAGAATAGCACTGATGGAAAAATTGGAAAGGAAGGAGCTCAGGGGAAAGAGAACCAACGAAATTTGAAAATATAATATTAAAAGAACAGGCTAAAGAAGAAAATGAGTATCAAAAAGGGATAACAGGTATGATATTAGAGATTAAAGGGGGGGGGGAAGGGATACAAACAAGGGAACTATGGGAGGAAGAATTGGGAATAAAAATAAGAGAAAGAAATTGGGAAAAATTATAGAGAGCAAGCCACTTCAGGAATTTATCAATTAGAATAAAAGAAAACTACTACAAGATGGTATGGAAATGGTATCTGACCCCGACAAAGATACACAATATGGATAAGAGTTGTTCAGAAAAATGTTGTAGGGGTTGCCAAGAAAAGGGTATGTATATCCACATGTGGTGGCAATGCAAATATGTACAGAGGTTCTGAGGAAAAGTTATAGTAGAAACAGAAAGTATTTTGAAGAAAAAAAATCCGGTGACTATACTGTTATCTATTTATAACACAGATGACTGGAAGGAAATATGAAAAGAATTAGATAACGATGTTGTTAATGGCTGCAAGGCTATTAATAGCAAAATATTGAAAAGGAGAGGTGGAAATAAAGATAGAAGAATGGTACAAGAAAATTTGGAAATTAGCAATAAATGATAAATTAACGTGCAGTCTAAAGGTTAAAAAGGCCTAAGGAAGGATAATGATATATGGAAAATATTTATTGAAGAAACATTAAGGAAAGAAGATGGGAACCAACCCTCACCAGAAGAAATGAGGTTCTGGTTTGAGCCTAAAGAAAAGAAGAACTCCGGAGATGGGGAGCACAATGGGTAGCACAACGGGGGAAAGGAAAATGATCCCATAGCACTTTGTCCTCCAAGCACTTTACATTTTTTAGGTCTGCTCGTATGTCCTTCCACAAACGCCACTATCACCTTTCCGTCCATGTCCCAGCATTATTCCCAATTTTAACTTTACATTTGGCCTTCCCACTGTTTTTAATTGTGTGTTGTCTTATTGCTAATGTTGTATATTTTATTGTCTATGTTTTTTATTTTAATTGCTTGTACTGTTGTTGTTATTGCTTGTACTGTTGTATTCGGGCTCGGCCTCATGTAAGCCGCACGAGTCCCTTGGGGAGACGGTAGTGGGGTATAAATAAAGTGCTGTTGTTGTTGTTGTTGTTGTTATTATTATTATTATTAGGAAAAGAAATAATTATATGAATTGTAGAGATGGGGTTTTTTTTTGGTAATGAAATGAATAGAAATGCAATAAAAATTATTATGAGTGAGGGTCACTCATTGGCCTGATAGGTGTATTGTGTCCAAATTTGGTGTCAATTTGCCCAGTGGTTTTTGAGTTATNNCACACCTTTTCTTCTTTCCTTTCTTTCCCTCCTTTTCTCCTTTCTTTCCCCTTTCATCCTTTCCCTTCTTTTTCTCTTTCTTTCCTTTCCCTCCCCTCACACCTTCTCTTTTCCTTTCTCTTTCTTTTTTCCCAGATCTTCAAAGGAAGACTCACCAGTCCTGGACGGCGTTGAAAGACTCCTCGTTGGTAATGTCGTACATCAGGATGAAGCCCATGGCGCCGCGGTAGTAAGCGGTGGTGATGGTCCGGTACCGCTCCTGCCCAGCCGTGTCCTGACAGAGAAAGGGCATCATTTACCCCTATTTACTCCAATCTTATGCCCACCTTTTTAATGTTGAAATGCCTCGCAAAGAATTATTATTATTATTATTATTATTATTATTATTATTATTATTATTACTATTGGGTCCAAGCCAAAGGGGAAGCTGCACCTGGAGCCCTTCTTTGCAGGACATCATCTCTCATCGAGGTGGCCACATCTATGTAATAGTATAGTGTAATAAAGTGATGGGCAACCTTTTCAGGTTGGTGTGTCAAAATCTGCCAAAAAAACCCGAGCATAATTCAGGTGGGGTGCCACTTTGAGAAAAATTTTGCGATATTTATAGTTTAAATAACAAAAATGCATAATGGGAGGATAAATTCTTTAACTAAGCTGCCTATTAGTGACTTTTTTTGTTGCTGATTTTCATTGACTAAACGTTCAATTGAAGGTTGGCATTTTGTACACTTCAAGCCCAAGCATGATCCAAATATACGCCCCAACCACAGCTGCTGAAGAAGCAGAAGTAGATCAGTTCTATGAGGATCTGCAGGACCTACTGGATAATACACCAAAAAGAGACATTATTTTCATTACAGGAGACTGGAATGCCAAGGTGGGAAGTCAAATGACAACAGCGATCACAGGCAAGCATGGTCTGGGAGAACAAAATGAAGCGGGACGCAGGCTGATAGAATTTTGCCAGGAAAACTTGCTGTGCATAACAAACACTCTCTTCCAACAACCTAAAAGATGGCTTTACACATGGACTTCACCATGTGTAAATGGTGGTCAGCACCGAAATCAGATTGACTACATCCTTTGCAGCCAAAGGTGTCGGACATCCATCCAGTCGGTGAA